CAAAATCTTCACTACTCCCCTGTAGACATACACCCATCTGGAACAATCCTGACATCCTACAAGAAAATAATATGTTAAATTTCCCAGGTTGGAGAGTCAAGGGAATTGAACGTCTGGAACACATATATGAAGGTGTAGACTTTATTCCATTTAATAATTTAATAATACAATTTGGCATTGAAAATAAATACTTCTTAGAATATCAACAAATTAAGTCTATCATAAAAAAGAAATTTAAGCTTAATAAAACTTTGTTAGAAACACCAATATGTGTGTTAGAGTTCCTTAATCTTAAATCCCCCAAATTATTATCTAAAATATACAAGAAATTGTCTAGAATCAATGACTCCATAATGTTACCTGTTGCAAAATGGGAGTCAGATTTATCAATCAATTTTGACCAAAACACATGGTCTCAAATATGTTTAAGAACATTTAAAATGACTAGAATCTCCAACTTACAATTAATACAGTATAAAGTTCTTTATAGAGTACATTATACAGGTCAGCGAATGCTTAGGATGGGATTTACATCATCTAACAACTGCTCACAGTGCACAGGCAATATTCCTGATGATTATATCCATGCACTCTGGTTCTGCCCACCCGTTCAGAGGTTCTGGGTCCAGGTTTGTGAAGACTTGTCTAAATGTCTGAAATGTAATATTCCACTCTCTCCGTCTGTTTGCTTATTGGCTATCTTGGAAGATGTTACCCTGGAAAAAAATACATGTCGCATGATTTTCACTGCCTTATGCATCGCAAAGAAAACCATCCATTTTCTTTACCCGTTTATTCCATTTTGGGTCACGGGGGTCGCTGGTGCCCATGTCCAGCAATCACTGTGCGAGGGGCGGGGTACACCCTGGACGGGTCGCAAGTCCATCACAGGGCCACATAGAGACAAACGAGACAAACAACCATTCACTCTCTCACTCACACCTAGGGACAATTTAGAGTTACCAATCAGCCTAACATGCATGTTTTTGGTCTGTGGGAGGAAACCGGAGTACCCGGAGAAAACCCACGCATGCACGGAGAGAACATGCAAACTCCACCCAGAAAGGCCCCCGGACTGGGATTTGAACCAAGGACCTGCTCGCTGAGAGGCAGCAGCTCTACTAGTTGCGCCACCGTGCTGCCGCAAAGAAAACCATACTCCTGAATTGGAAAAATAAAAATAATCTTAGCATTAATCAGTATAAAAATCTGCTGTTAGATCATATTAGTCTTGAAACAGCATCTGCCAACACATCGGATCAATCTCTGTGGGCTCCTTTGATCGGCTCCGTTACATAGTGAGGGTGGGTAGTCTGGGATCTGACCTTGTGGGGCCTAGGGGTTGATGTGGAGGCGGGTGTATGGGTTTGGGGCGCCGGGGGGGTTGCCGGGGGCTGGGCTCTTGGGGGTACCTGGGCAGGGGGGCACTGCTTTCCCCCTGGGGAGGGCCTGGGTGGTTCTGGGGGATGTCTGCTGGTGGCTGCATGCGGGCCCTCAGGTGGTCTGTGGCGGCGGTCGTGGGTCACCGATCTGGTAGCCTGGCTGTGCTGGGGTAGGTTCAGGGTGGGCGCGGGGGCTTGGGGTTCTGGGGGCTTGTCGCCCCCGGGCTTGGGCCTGTGGGGATCGGGGATCTTGGGCTCTGGCGGGCAGGTTGCCGGGCTCTGGGCCGACTTGCGCTCTGGTGTCCGGTTCTGGGCAGGGGCCTTCGGCTCGCTGGTGGGTTGTGGGTTCATGGGCTGGGGGATTGGGTGTTTGGGGGCGTGACCAGTGGTCCCTAAGAGGGGGTAGTTTTACCCAGCCTAGGTGTCTAGTGTGCTATGTGTTTTGAGAGATGTCCGAATGAGGGGTGGGTGTAGTATTTCTTCTGGGGTGGGGACAGGGTGGATGTCCTTGGGGGCGGCCCGGGACTGTGCATGGCCAACTGGCTGGCCCCTTTCCTGTGGTGGGGCTCGCTCCCGGTGCTTCCTGGCTCTGTCGGCAGTTGGGCAGGCGCTCTTGGCCGGGTCGTCCTGGTGGGGTTTGGCTTCATCTGGTGGCGGGCTGACTGCGGTTTGTGGGGGTCCTGGCGGCCCTCGGGTGTTTGGGCTGCTGGTACTGCTTCTGGCGGCCCTCGGGGCTCTGTCCCTCTCTGGTCTGGAGCTCAGCAGGCCTGGCAGTCGGTCCAGATGGAGAGGTGTCTTGGCCTCAATCCCTGGGTGGACCTTGGGGAACTGGGGGGGGG